CACAAAATAAACAGATTGGTAACGCTTTATTTTACAGTACCATTATTACCATGTAATTACAAGGAAATAAAAAAATGTAATTCAATAGTAATTACTACCTTACTACCATATAATTACCTGGTAATTAGGGTACAATTTTACTACGTAATTAATTGTCTGCAGTAATATAGCACTTACCTGGTAATGTATTACAATTCACTATGTAACACATAAATAAGTAGTAAATAATTTGGACAGTTTTAAAGTTAAATTTTATTGCAATTAACCACTWACCCCAAAATTTAGTTGCATTATTTTGGTTAKAAATATAGTGTTGAGTTACTGTTGAATAGTAATTTGATTGTAGTTACCCAATAAAGGTAGTTTTACTAACAGTAGTTTTTTTATTTTGTGCCCTAATTACCACATAATTACATAGTAACAAGGTAGTAATTGCATTTAATTACTTTTTTCTTACCTTGTAATTACACTGTAATAAGGGTACTGTAAAAGAAAGTGTTACCAACAAATTATTTGCACGATTTGAGTATCAAATCAATACTAAAAAAACAAAAACAAAACAAGAATGTCTCTTCAAAGCTTTTATAAATCAATACTTTTTWATTTCATTTTCACAAGCTGAAGCCATCAAAATTTTTTCAAGAATAAATCTGTATTTTCATGCTATAGGAGCTCTCGTGCCAGTGTAAATCAACAAAACAAGTAAGTAACATATAGAAAGATGTAATATCAGTACTYAKATTTTAYRTACTTWGTCACGCTGTCAGTTCGGAAATTTYTGCTTTAGTCAKTCCGTCTTAATGAGCCAAGGACTTATAATTGACCGAGCAGACAGGAAGCAATTAAAAAAGAAGACAAACACATGAGGGGCTCTGAGATCAAATTAAAAACAAAAAAAAGAAAGAAAAAAAGCAAGGTCCAGTGTGGACATGGTGGGCTCTGGTTTGCACAACTGTCAAATGAGTTGACTTTTAAAAGACCACATTACATAAACAAATCATTTTAAAGCAAACCGTGTCATGCTGTAAACATTAAAGAATTTTAGCACCGCTTTAAACTTTGTTCTATAAGCAAACCTTTGCAGAAGTACACTTTCATGTACAAAACAGCCCCTTTGCTCTTTCTGAGGTTTGATGTATGATGCACATGTTGGTTTAAATAAGCACGGGGGAGCAACAGATATAGGTGAACAATCTCTATTCAAATGTTTTATATGGAAACTTAGCCGAGTGGAAACAGATGTGCGTCACTTGTGACCTATAAAAAATGATATATGGTCACCAGTAATACGGTTCAGCAGAGGCGAGCACTTCCAATTTGCCTCACCTAGCCGCTACGGTACTCTGTGTTGTGTAATTGTGGACATATTTTTCAAACAAAAGATGGAGCATTTTGCAGCATGTGCAYGCTCGGTAAACTTTGAAATGACTCAGCTGAAAGACAAACACATTTATTCATGATGGCCACGTGTTTTAAAGCAGAGATCACCTGTCAATCTTACAATTATAATTCATGAAGCTGGTTCACAAATGCATCACTCTTTTTCATTTTTTTCCCAATTAGTTTCTTCGATCAGGTATAAAATATCTAGTCTTTATTTTTTGTAAGAATAAGAAAAAAATGTCTGATTTGTTATTTTAGTGTGATTGAAAGTGGCATTAATTTTCTATAATGTCAYGTACATGCTACTAAAAAGGATTTAGGCTTTCTTTCAAGTGGAAATCCAATAAATTCGTAAAAAAAGAAGTTCAGCTTAAAGCAGAAGCA